TTTTGCAAATCTTAATATTATGCCAGTGTAGTCAATACATACTAGAAAAATTATTTTCCGGTTTATATATTATTTATATATTGTTTTGAAAGATTGTGTCTTTCATTTGGAGAAAGATATTCCTCTCCCTTTGCAAGGCCAGTCTTTCCCTAAAGGCTTCATGCATTGACTGTGACTGCAGAAGCCTTTGGACTACATCCCATATTTCCACTGCTTGCTGATTGAGCAACTGCATCTGACAGAGCTTTCCTGTCTTTTCTAGCTGTTCTGAAAAATCTCATACCCAAATGGGTTGCAGGTATTTGGGCTACATAGTGGAAACAAATCTCAACAGCCAGAGGAACCAGATGTATCAAATGCTTGTGATCACATGCAAACATGATAATGTTGGTGATTTAGGGAATCAGCTGTGAACCACATCCCATTTTTCTAAAATATGTATTTCTCTGTGTGTCAGTGGGGAATTGTTACCTTCCCCACTGAATCCTAGTACTACAAACACACAGGCTTTAAGCCGGATTTATGTAGAAGCTAGCATGCAATATAAGTAGAATTTTACATTACTCTTCGCTCTCTTTTTTCCCTCTCAGGATTTTCCTTAAGGAGATAGAAAATTGTATTGAAAACCCTGAGCTTCTTGCCCGATGCTTTTTAAAAAGAGTAAGTACATCCTTTTGCATGTTTGTATCTATGGTCTTATCCTACAGGACTTACAGATTTACTCCTGTTCTTTCCCTCCAATTGCTTTTGTGAATGAGGGCAACTCCCATAAACAGATATTCCCAAATTAAGCCACAGTTAACAAGGACATATTCTGAAATCTAACCCTTTACCTGGTTTACTGACAGGAAGAGAGCTTTTACTAGTGTTTTACCAAGTAATTTAAATCCCCTTTAAAAGAAAAAAACAAACAACAAACCAACAAATAACAGTGATCCAAATGTTTAACGTGCTTTTCATATCAGAAAAATCTATACCAGCAGTCTACTGTAACCCTGACAACAACCTGCAGTAAAAAAGCACAGCACAGTATCACAGAGGATTATTCTGAGTGCAGACAATACATCCTGTTCCTGCCTTATCTTATCCTTCTTTTCTCTGCACAATTCAGGACTTACTCCCCTAGACCTGGCCCAGCAGAGTCTGCTGCCATCCTCGCATGGACCCCACCAGCTCCGTAAGACTCTGTGAGGTTGATTCCCTTACTTGTTCACATAATTCAACAAGTGGGATTCTCCTCACTTGTATGAAGTGGTGGGGGTCAGCTGTTTGCTTAAAAGTAAAGAGAGCTCATTTCTGAGAAAGCCTCAAGCCATCAGGCAGTGGTGGCTTTGGTCAGGTCCGTGTGTGTTCGCTTCCTGTGGCTCTCAGTGCCCAAGTTCTACAGCTTTTCCCCGAGAGTTCCCAGTCATGTCCCTCCTCCACCACCACCCCCCCTCAGCCTGACTGTTAGTTCTGTTTCCTGCAACACAACCAAAGGTGCTTGTTTATATGGCACTCATTCAGGGGCCCTACTAATGAGAAAAAAAATATCTTTTGTTGGATTGCTACTGTTTTCAGAGTCTGACAAAACTGCTTGAATAAGACTCTGTGTTTTGCATAGGAAATGGAAGAGGCATGAGAACTGGGAAAATCTGTCCACTGTAGTCAAAGGTACCTCCTGCCTCTCCCATATACATCTAGTATTTGCTGCTTTTCCAGGGTACACATTAAATACACACAGATTTGCATGTACCAGTCAGAGATATTGAGCACTCCCACATCACTAAGATTTGATGGGAATTATGAACATGTGATACTTGCAAAGGGTATGCCCCCAATTTACAAACAGGTCAGACTGAAGAGAGTCATAGGAGTGTAAACATGATTATATGTCCACTGAATTATTTTCTGTTTAACAGCGAAGCATTTAGGGCTTGAGTAAATGACACTACTAAGGAATGTGTTGTTATCCTAAGATTCAGATGCTGAGCAGGAAAATATTGTGGTGAAATCATTATGCAAAAGAGGATAAGTGGTCTTTGAAGAATGCAGACCTTTGAAATCCAAGAAGCCTAAAATAGTCCATGCGCTGCAAATATCCCTGGATTTACAGCTAAAGAAAAATTCTTGATATAGAATTGATACTATAATTCTGCAGAAAGTTCAAATTCCATATTTAAATATTGTAGCTTATGTCTCTGTGAAAACAGCGATGAGCCCAGTTCTCCTCACTATTCTACAAAAATGAAAGCAGCACTAAAGCTGTGGTTCAGGTTGGTTGAAGTGAAAGAAAACCAGTCTGTCATCTTTGCTCATCAGTTTCTGTGGCCTAGTCAAACCACACTAAGTCCATCAAATAAGAGGTTAAATCATGCATTTGCTTTCTCCCTATTTCAAATTTCACACTAAGAAAGCACAAGCTTCTCTCTTGAGATGTCTCTGCTCACACAGTAGCACCTTTGATTCAAGAACTTGCCCTTATGTTCTGTTTTTAGAAGAAGCCACATAAAGTCCAGAAATGTGTTGTTTCTGTTGGACTGCCTTTAGGAGGCACAAACAAAAGTCTATTTGTGTGTTTGTGTTCCCCATGATTTGGCAGCTTTTTATGCCTTCCTGCTGAGCAGTGGCTTCTGGCTGCCCCATAAATTATGCCTGTGCTTGCTATGACAGGGGGAAACAGAAGCAGCTGCTGTTCCAGGTGATGCCGGAGTTCTGTGAGGAAACTCACATTGTCGCAGATTCTCTTCTCTATTTCTCCTTCTTTGTATGGGTGTGGCCATCCTGCCACAACATCGTGGTGGGCTTGTGATTAGAAATAAACAGGTTTTTTAGACTCATACTTGAAGAGCTCTACCCTGTCTGATCATACTGGGCTTTTTCAGCCCTGATTCTAGAGTTTCCTGAAAGCATCCTGAGAGCTGCAGTGAGACACTCTGGTGCCAGAGTCCCTCCACCCCCTGCCAGTTGTTCCTCTGCCATGTCCCTACACACTCTCCCACCTCCACCAGTGCCACCAGATCAGCTGTTACCCTGAATGTGAACTCTTCTTCTCACGTGATGGCAGAAAGGCTGTGGACTCATAGCCTATTTCTCCTCTCTGGTCTCTCTCCTGGAACATGGTAGAATCAGGTAAAAGATGAGCCAGAAATGCCCTTCTTGTCCTCCCTCCCACTTTGCCTGACCTTGTTTAGGGCATGATTTTCATATGAACTAAATTGCAAGTGAGCCAGCTCAGCTTTGCCGACATGGCAGCTATTATACCATCACCAAAATGCTTGATTTATTTAAAGCTCTGTGTGGTCAAGGATTATGCAGCTGTTTAAAGAGGGAGGGATGTGCACTGAATAACCTTGCAGGATGGGTCTCCTAGTGCTTTATCAGCAACAGGGGGGCAGTCTGGGCTGATCTGCTATACAAAGGACTGGGAAGAAGGAAAGCTTACCAAACCAAGGCAGGAATGCCCAGCATGAAACCAAAGGTTTGTCAGGCTGCTTACCAACATGTGCCAGGTGATGTGTCTGGCAGGAGTGATTCACTGTGGGTCACCACTGTTTACTTATTCATATTGCTAACCTTAAAAAAGGGAATAATTTAGTAGGAGCTGGCAGTTAGGGCATTTGGTGATTCAGGGTGAAAGAAGCATTTAGAAAAGGAATCTATCTGTGAAAGGACAGTAGCAGCTCACCAGAAACCTGTGAGTTGGATTCAAAGGGCTAAATTCTGCTCTGAAGCAAAAATTATTCATAAATTAGCAGTCAAAAGATAATTGGAACTGTGCATATATGCCATAAGCATTGGAGCTTACAGAGATCTCAAGGTGCAAATCAGTGTGGAAAGGAAAAGCATTACAGGGGAGATGAGCATGGTGTAAAAATACCAGCAAGAAGTCAGAACCTTTGGATTTGAAAATAGATATGAGCTGAACATGTAAGAGTGGGATTTGAATAATGAGGCAATTAATTATTTCTTGGCATTTTAGAGTCTGATCCTAGTAATTTCATCAGGAATTTCCTATTCCTAACAGTATTGCAAAACTTAAAGCTGTATTTAAAGATGTAAGTATGTAGGTAGGTGTCAGTGATTTAGGTAGGAGTAGACTGCATTGGCATAGGTTGGTTCCACTATGGCAAATTACTGGTAAATTGTTGGTTATTGTACCTTTTCTTTAAATTGAAATTGGTTATTTTCTCTTACTCCTAATAGTGCTCTTGACTGTTGCTGTCTCTGTTCTTCTTGCCCAGTCCAGTTAGATTTCTGTGGGCCATGAAGAGATTGTAATACTTGATTATGCTTTATTCCTACTTTTAGTTTTGTGGGTTTGACCCCCTGCTAACTTCCCTCCAAGACAACATGTACAAACCATTCTATTTTTGTGAAGAAAACACTGCACCTCTTTTGAAACTGGACCATTAGTCCTCTATTTAGTTGCAACAGAGCTTTTTGTATTGTGTAATCCTTAACACAGCTCGGTGTTCCGTGGCACAACTTTGCTCACAGCTGATTCCTCAGGGTGATGTCAGTATGGGTCTGTAGAGGAAGACAGCAGCAACACTGATTTCTTCTAGTAACTCTATACAAAAGGAAAAGCTTTCCCTGCAGCAGGAGTGTATAGGAACTGTCTAGTGGACTGAAAGCACAGAGACAAGAGCCAGGAATTCCCAAGATTGATTTTTGGTGCTTTCTTTGATTCACTGAGGTCACATCCCCCAGGGTAGGTGCAAATGAAGATGGGGAGCTCCCAGCACAGCCAACCCTGCTCCATGGCCCTGTGGCTTCTGGGCTTCCTGGGTGCATAGCCAGTGAGCCCTGAACCTGCCAGAGGAACACCCATCTCTGCATCCACCCATACAGCCCAGGGAGCTTAAAATATCCCCCTCTGAGCTTTTATGGAGATTGCCTTTGTTTTCACTGAACTCAATGAGATTTTTGCTGTGGACCTCAGTGTAGTCAAAGCTAAACAGAGGTGAAGTGAATCCACCCACTATCAATTTGGATAAGACAGGGTTAAGTATATCCCCCTGCCTGGCCTGGGACACCAACAAGACAAACTTCCTACTTTTTTATTCATCCGTATATTTTTGAGAGCCAGCACTATTTTCAGGGTGTGCTGAACAGGTAATCCTTAGCTATGTGGTGAGCACTGTTAACAATTACAGTCTGTGCCAGTATTGTTAATAAAATTTACATTTCTAATGTGTCTTTTTATTTGTTTTCAAACCATCTATTTCCCTCTCAGAAAGATTATGCAATTAGATTGTGTGTCTTCCAGTCTGCAGTCTCCTTGCTTTGTGTTAAGAGTGAGGAAAAAAAAATAAATCTTACTTTCAGATGTATTTAACTTAATCAGGAGTAAAAAGTAACTTTGGTAGTTTTGGTATGTTTTTACATACAGACTTATCTCCATGTATTAATTATTTCATGTCTTGGGATGGAAGGTAAGAAAAAGTGTGATTCAGTGTAGATGCTCTATGGATTCTTTTTTCTTACCTTACCTAAACTCTCCTTTTCTTGCAGAAAGAGGACCTCCAAATATATGAAAAGTACTGTCAGAACAAACCAAGATCTGAAGCTCTCTGGAGACAGTGTGGAGACAGCATCTTTTTTCAGGTGGAATTTCATTGCAGGCTAGCAGTGCAAGACTCATAAAGCTCGTTTTCCTTCTGTATCTCTTCTTTCTTTAGAAAGCTTAGAGCAATACACAGAGTTTTCTGCATGCTTCTTGTACTGAGGGCAGGTGCTCAGAGTGTGTCAAGGTGCTCTGTACAGGAGACTGGGCACCTAGAGTAGATTTCCTGCTCAGGAGCCTGACTGCAGGCTATACCCAAACCAAACAAGTGCTGGCTTCTTTGCAAACGCCAGCTGATTGCAATCTCAGCCGCAAGGAATGCCAGATTTCGACACTAAGTCGAACCTTAACATTAGCTCTTGTTTAGATGTATTTTCACTGTGGCATAAATAACCTGGAAACTCCTATGCAGATTGAACAAATTTTTCTCTCACTTAATTCACAGATATATAATCTCAGATTGTCAGATGATAATGATCTTGGTGTTTTACCTGTGTTTCAAGAAACAATTGTGTTTTTCTACCCTGTTATTTCTTACAGGAATGTCAGCGTAAATTGGATCATAAACTCTCACTAGATGCTTATCTCTTAAAGCCAGTCCAGAGAATCACCAAGTATCAGTTGCTGTTAAAGGTAAGTTCTCCACGGCAGTGCAAAGATTTCCAATGCATAGCATTTTACTTAAAGAGTTGCAAATCAGTCAGGACTACTTGGAAATAAATCCTCACTCAATTCTTCAGCAAATACTTTGCAATGTTCAGTTGTAAAATAGTAGAAAACAGAAAAAGAAGGGACTTGCATTTTAGAATAGGAACTGCTATTTCTTAGCAGTACTTACATACTAAGCAATAGAAGTATACTATTATATGTATAGCTTTCTCTATATAAAGATATTTTACACAGTAAGTATTTTATTGTCTTATTTATTGTTTTATTTATCTTTAAACAGAAATTGAAGTTGGCTTTTTTGGGTCAGTATATGGTCTTACAGTCTGAAAACAGGAACTGATGCCTTAAATCCTGTCTCTAACATCTGTCCCTGTTTAACAAAACTCTTTCAGCTCTCTGAACTGATATTTTCCCATGGTTGTGACTCAAACCTTTCAGAAGGAGCCACTCCCTTTTGCTGCTTCTTTTTAAAAGACCCAGCTAGGAACAAATTGTAACTTTTCCAGGAGATGAATATGTGAAATTCCCTCTTGATTTGGCTGGAACCCTGAGTGGTCCATGCTTGAAATTGTGGTCTGAACTGGGCAACAGGAAATATATAACTCAAAACAATGACTTTTTTTTTTTTTTTTAAGATGATGGCTTAAATTTCTGTCTTCATTTTCTCAGTTCTTAAAAATAATACTTATTGTCTTTCCTTATGAGAAGGTCATGAAGGTGAATTACATGCTGTTCTCAAGCTGCTGGGATTAATGTAGTGTTGTGCACTGTCAGGAAATTTAGCACTGAAATTTGCAATGAAGATTTTAGGCTGCCATTTAACTTGCTAGCAGCTACCATGGCACTGCTCAAATTGTGCCAGTGCAAGTTGTGAGGACCTGGCTGGCCCTTCTTGTGCAGTATTTCTCCGAGCTGTTTATTGACTTTATGCAAAACTATAGAATCCAAATATTGAAGGGGGATATTGACATGGATAAAACTTCATGGATTCCAGCAGATTTACATCAACATACTCCAGAAATAAATTTGCCTCTATTTCTTGAAACTAATCTGCGAGAATGGCAAAAGTGTCAAGGTCTCCAGAAAAGCAAGAATAAACCAGTTTCTGCTTTTAGTTTGAAATATGACTGTAAATAAAACCAAGATTAGATCAAGGAGTAAAATTCTCAGGCAAAACAGGTCACAGCCATTGGGGTTTGAAGCTGGTCAGACCAGTTTCATACTTAGCAACAACACATTGGCATGGGCATTTACCTTGTCAGGGATTATGAGATGCACTCTTTTCCTGGTAGCAGGAGCACTTAAACATGTAGAAAAATTGAAGTCAGTGAAAAATTGATAACAAAGAAGTGCTTAAGAAGCTGTGTACCTTGAGTGGTGGGCAGACTAGATTTAAATTTTGGGTCACAATTATTGCAACCCTCTATTTTCAACCAGTTTAGCTAATATGCTCATGCTGATGAAAGCAGCATGCTCACTGTACAAGGAGCAGAGATCCATCCTCATCCTAGAAAGTGTGCAACAGGTACTATAGGAATGAATCCTGCTTTTACCTTCTAGTGTCTGGTTACCCAAGCACTTGAGGAGAGGCTGCTGCTGTTTGGGGTTTGCAGGAACTACCTTCTTGGGGCCCCATTTTAGGGTAACACAAGTGCATCAGCATTTGGATTAAATTATTTCCAAACTCAAAATGTGGAATGTAGAACCTGCCAAATTCAGATTAGAAATTAATTTATATTTTTAACAGTGGTAAGTACCTTGTGGAACTAGTTGCAAAGGAAAATGGAAAATTCTCCAGCATCTGAAATAATTATATTAAGTTTGTTTTCTAGCAGATGTGAAGAAAAAAACCCTGGAAGTAAAACCCTCTGACATGCAAGAAGTTCATTGTAAATATGTCAGAATGGTCCCATCTCATCTTAAATGAACACTTGAAAATGGCCAAAAAGTCAAAATGTGTGTCCTCAATGACAATCCTGGTGAATGTCCTGTTTGGTTTTGTTTGGGGTTTTTTACTCCCTTTTTGTTTTCCCAGAGCTCTGCTACTTTGTCTATACAGCACAAATTTCAGGGAGGATTGTTTTATGGTGTCTTCTGGTACAAGAAGTTCTCAAGTAGTTTCCATATCTCTTTTTAATCAGGAAATGCTGAAGTGCAGCAAGAATTCAGAGGGTACTGCTGAATTGGAAGAAGCCCTGGCCACGATGCTTGATATCATCAAATCAGTAAATGATTCCATGCACCAGATAGCAATCACAGGATATGAGGTACTATTTGCTGTTGCTCCTACTCTGGTCTTGAGTAATCCAATGCTCCTCCCACCACTGACTATGCTCTGCCTTTGGCTGGTACACTTTACAGGAGCCTGTGCCACATTCCTGAAGGATGCCACTCAGTGGCATGTTGTGATTGCCAAAAATACTTGTCAGCACACCTGTCATGTGGAGGTGGGGTGTAAGCGTGGGGAGGTAGTGGGACAAATGTGAGACTTCTGCGTAATTGCACCCAAAACTCATTTGTAGGTGAGAGGTGCAAGTGTGACAGACATAACTTAACAAATTTGCTGAAACTTTGTGACCTCTGTGCAGCTTGACAGTTTTCAAGTCTTTTGCACTGAGGGAAGAAAATTTATCTTCCACTTAAAGTGGATAATAGAATCCATCCCAGTCACTGGCAAGCTTGTTATCTGAAATATGAAATAACAACCACAGTACAAATCAAAGGGAACAAATATCTCTCTCTCTCTCTCTCTCTCTCTGTCTTTCTGCTGATGCTCCATTGAAGTCATATGATTTTCAAGAACTAGTGTTGCCTACATAAAATGAGCCCTTAAGTGAGAAGTGGAAGTGATTGACACATAAAGGAGAAACATGCTTGGCAAAACGAGGCCTGAGGGTCATGTGGTTGCCCATTTTGAAATAGCTGCAGGGTGAAAATGTCAAGAAAGAAATAATATAGTGAGAAACTGGGTTCAAAGAATTATTACATCAGAGGAACAGTTTAGTCTGGACACCAGGAAAACTATTTTGTGCAGAATGCAACTTCCTGAGAAGGTGCTGGGGTCTACAGAGACTATGTGTGGGTGGGAAGTTATTCTGTTTTTCAGGATGGGAGTGGCTTCAGTTTTGATTTCTATAGTTCTCTTTCATGCAAGTGCATCTGGTAGCTGAGGAACCCATGCTCCTGTCAGCATTAGTTTATAAATAAATTTAACTGCTTACTCAGCGGCATGTCAGAGATCCACTGCTGCACAGAGCTGGAGATGCTCCTGTGGACTGTGCATTACATTTGAACTGAGAATGTGAGTTCTTCCTCCAGTAGCTGTACTGGTTGAAGGTGAAGCAGTGGCCACCTCATTATACTGGTAAACACAGACTAGATGTGGTGCCCATGGATCAGAGAAACATCACAGATCATAAGCATAACCTTAGATCCCCCAAACCTGACAAATTTAAATAAAGCATATGTTTACCTCATTCTGGTTATGGCTAAGTCTAAGTGTCTCACAGATTCATTTTAGAAAAACTCTTTAAAGCCTGGATATTATTATTGCAGACTTGAACGAGTCAACATGGGCGTGGGAGGCTCATGGGTACAGGACACAGTTTCCACTGTTTCTTATTCATTCCCAAAGAGAAGGGTAGCTTTCCTCCCATGTTTCCCAGTTTAAATGTATGAAGTTACAGCAATTTCACAAAAAAATTTGGTTTTAAACTGCTCCGTAAGGGATGGGCAGAAGAGCTTCCCCAAGAAAGGTATCATATTATCCTAAACAGAGGGGTTCTAGCCAGTTTGCTGTCCACATAAATGTTGAGTTCATCTTTTTGCCTATTCCTTGCTTTCAAATCTCAGAGTAGTTTTGTACTCAGGAATTCAACAGAGCATTCCTGTTCCTTTTAAACTTTTACTTTTGAATTTTCCAGCCTTCCATGAAATGCCAGATAGTAGCTCCTAGGACTAGATTTTTGCTTCTGGTTTCTTAGCTGAACTGAAAAAGCATTGCAAAGGGGGACATAGCTGCTGTTTAGCCCAATGCTGACAGCATTCCTGAGATGGTTTGTTACATGATTATTCAATGGGGTGAAAGTGTCAAAGAGGATGCACCCAATAATTATTTCTTCTCCCTGTTCCACCTGTCCCAGGTGCTCAGCTGTGGTGCCAAATAAACACCTCCCATAGCTGATGAAACCACACCCCATCTTGTGGAGTCTTTCCCACACAGCCATGATAGAAATACTTGGCTAGAACACCTTTCAGGGAGGGATATTATGCCAGCAGGAAAGCAGGTTTTGTGGCAGCTGATAAATGCTCCTAATTGCATAGGATATTCTGCTTCTTGGACTTGTGCACATGCAGACTTGAGGAGCTGAACTGTTGTGTAAGAAGTTTCTAACACGTAAGTCTGGGGTTGGTTTGGTGGTTTCTGGGTTTTATTTGTTTGATTTTTGTTTGTTTGGTTTTTGTTTGTTTGTTTTTTAATTTTTATTTTTAGTCAAAGCCACAAAAAAAAAGTAGAATAAAGCTTGGAGAGCAGAAGTTTTACAGGTGTTTGCTGTTATTATCCCAACATTGGTATATAATCTGGCCTGCATAGTTTGTCCATGAGTTATCATGGGAGATACATCTGAGTTATCATATTTATCTCTCATATTTCATAAACATGAGATACAGTGTATTGTTCTTAGAGAGGATAATTATGTTTGAGATAGTGATCAAATCCTTCACTTTAAATTAACTTCCTTTAGGACAAAATATTGCTGCCCACTAGAAGAAATTACCAGAAACAGCATCCTCCTCTCCATTTGCTGCCCACACTAAAGAGAGAGTCCAAGGCTTGTGGGCCAATATTCAAAGGCTGCCACCCCTGTCCATCCTCTTTCTCTCTGCAGTGGCAGCCTCCCACTTCACTTGCTGTATCCCAATCCCAGATACAAGACTGGAGACAGATCTATCGCAAGAGTTACACTGAGCTGGATCTCAGTGCTGTACTAAACAGTGCCTGGGGTGACAGCAGCTCTCACCATTGTCAGAACTGTGTAGAAAATATGCTTGTTTGTTTTTTTAATTTAGCTTTACATACCAATATGCTTTTCACAGGCTTGCAGTTTATACCTGCCTGCATGTATAAATACAAACATCCACAGTCCTGTATGCACAAATAAAAGATCCAACTCTATATATTAGAGATGGGAGACTCTTATTAAAATCATTGAAGTTCTTTGAATAGTTTGGAGAGTCTAATAATACCCTGATATAGACTGGAAAAGTACCTAGTTAAGACCTGGTTTTGCAGCGGGATCTATGGTAGAGGAGGGGGAGTGAGAGAGAGAACAGGTTGCAATCCATAGTTTAAGAAATTGGACATTCCTGCTTGGAGCCAACATCTTTACCTTATAGTCAACAGAACATACAGATGTTGAAAATAAGTGCTTCAATAATGCACTGGGCTTATTCTCTCAACTTATTATACAAAGCATTCCTAGGAAAAACTTGCTGGTAGGATAATGATGTTTATCATTACTTGTTGAAGCCCATTACCATAAATGTGTTGCCATATCCTTTATCCACACTTTACTACACTCTTAACACTGAACTGTGCTGGTGGCATCGGAGCTACATATTTGTTGATTAATATCAGTTGAGGTATTTACCCATCAGTGGTCCTCAGACAATTTAGAAAGGTCTTGTTACTGCTTAGTTTCACTCTCCCTCAGGTACTTTTATAGCTCCTTGGTGCATTTACTCCCTCTTTGCCCAAGGCTGTGCAGGGTTGCATAGTTTGCAGATAGCGAGCCAGGAAACTATTGACAAAGCTTATAAAAACTATTTTGCAATAGGAGGGAATCACACACCTCCATACCTCTGGGCACCAATCTGTGACTTCAGGCATCTAAGCTCTTTCAAGGTTTTGCCCATGGATGGAAGAAGCTCCAGAAACTGAAACTAGATCTTCCAGAGCCAGGGCCTTTGCTTGAGCATCTGGACTGCACTAGGCCTTCATACTGCCTTGGAGTCAGGAGTCTTGAAACCCTTTTTTTGTCAGAAGTCTCCTCTGAGGTCACCAAAGGGGACAGCCTGTCCTGAGACAGACCTTAGATGCTAACTATGAATGGGGAGACAAACTGAGAATTATGGACATGGAAACCAGTGGGTTAATGGTTATATGAAGAAACCACACAGGTTTAGCAAGGGGACATGTGCACTCTCCAGCACAAAGGATGCCCAGGCACATGCCTCTGCCTGGAAGCCTAAACACCATTAGAGGAATGAATTGTGCCTGGGATTACCCTATTGGAACGTGAGGTACCCTCTCTTGGTTTCTAGGGCGATGTCAGTGAGCTTGGCAAGCTGTTGATGCAGGGTTCCTTCAACGTGTGGACCGACCACAAGAAGGGGCACAACAAGGTGAAGGACTTGGCTAGATTCAAACCAATGCAGAGACACCTCTTCCTCTATACAAAGATGCTACTTTTCTGCAAGAAACGGGAGGAGAACACAGATGGCCACGAGAAGACAGCTTCGTACAGCTTTAAAAATTCATTAAAGGTAATAAATGCAGTAATGGTGGGGGAGATAAATAAGTCTGGTGTTCTCACAAGACAAGGATGTTTCCATGTGGAGTTTAAGCAGGTGCATATATCTGGGGCTGTCTCACACCTCTAAGTAAGTTCCCATTTAGTTTTGGTCTGGAGACAGACCAATCCATATGTCCTGCAACCCCAGACATGAACCTTGTTTTTTGCAACTAGATACAAATGGGCATCTTGTGTATTCTTGCCCACCATCCCATAAAGAGAAGCAAGACTGAATGGACCTGCATCTCTGGTTGTTCTGCCTGTGGGTATCCTCTAAGTGTAATTCTACTGCAGGTTTTACTATTGAGATCAGTTGAGCAGGTCTATTCTGTGACAGTAATAGCTACAGATGAATCAGTGCAGTAGAAGTGCCCTTTTATTTGCAAGAGTGGCATTTCCAGATATGAGTCAGGACATTTTATGCTGGGATTCACAAGTAGGCCAATTTTCCCTTTAAGCACATTGGTGTGACACTTGTGACTTTGGCCAACTGATATGGATCATGAAGTGTAATGCTGCAAACTTACTACACGATAACCAGACAGGAATTGTAATAGAACCTGGTTCAAGAGTTGAACCAATTCATATAAACATTTGTAGTTTCTTTCTGTGGAGAGAGAAGGAATGGTGGCATAACACTGTCTAAATCTTCAAAGAAATGCTGAGGTAAATCAAGAACAAGAAGGATGAATGAATACAGGAAGAAGATGGGAAGTAAAGTAGCAACTGAACTTCAAAATTGTGGCAAAGAATATTTCATTTAAGAAATCTAGAATTATTTCCTTCAGGTTTTTTGTGTTTGGATTTGCAGTTCAGTCATTAAATCTCACAAAGCCCTGTTACATCCCTCCTCCTCTCCCACCTTAACAGGTCAGTGATGACAAAGGAAAATTCAGTCTTCCCAAAACTGAAAATTTTTCTAGGTGGACAAGAGCCAGGATAGTATTGAAAACTGACCCACAGATGAAGCAATGAAAGAAAAGAGGATAAACTCATGAACAGACATTAGCTTGGGTTACTTTTGAACACTCTTTCCCCTCAATCAAAAAGATGAACAACAAATTAGATATTGAGAAATAACATGTTCTGACTTTTAATGACTCACTAAAGTGTATAAGTGAATGCAGCCTTTTCAAAATGCTTCTCAGAGGATTGAGTTTAAAGACTATTGAAATTTTCCAGATTTCAGCTTCTTCTTTTTTGTTTTGAAACAGATGAGCACTGTGGGCATTACAGAAAATGTGAAAGGGGATAACAAGAAGTTTGAGATCTGGTATAATGGCAGAGAAGAGGTCTATATCATTCAGGTAATGACAATATTTTTTTTTCCCAAGGACTATATACTTCCTTTCAATTGAATTGTTTTTAAGAATGTTTACTGTCCTGTACACTCCAGAAACAATAGCCATTGAAAGCTTCATTGTTGTGTGGGCATTGAGATTGCCAATTTATTGTTGTGGAAATGGTCATGATTTTGGCTAAAAGAGGAAATAGAGTAGTGGGAAATCTCTTGGAATGCTAGACAGAAAAGCATAGACAGGACCTTAAATTCATTGTAACTCTTCCATCTCAAAGAGCATCCTCTGCTTTGCTCAAAGCTGGCCCCAGTGTTCCAATCCTTGGGAAAATTGAGAGCAAACATAGGTCAGGGCAGCACAATGATTGGCAGCACATTTTAACTGGATCTGCTTTGCCTTGTCCTCTTGTGTTCTCAGGCATCTTCCGTTGAGCTGAAAAACACCTGGATTTCAGAGATTCGCAAAGTCCTGACAGGACAACTGGAAGCGTGTAGAGGTAGGACACACAGAGCAGGATCTGGTAATGTTGCCTTCCTTCTGGAGCTGTGTGTGACAACACTGAGCTGGGACGAGTCACAGGGCTGACCTGTACCACCAGTGAAACGGGCAAGAACAGATCTCCAGTGTGAGGACCAGTTGGGTGGTTGCAGCATTGCTGGGATTTAAACCCTTGTCCTGGTCAAAGAAAATTTCTTGGAACTTTAGAAGTGGCATTGATAATTATTCCATTCACAGTTAGTCCAAGGGACATGCTTTTCCTCTGTTCTCCCTCTCAAGCTACAACTCTAGGAACATCATTTACACCAGCATGTGAGGAGTTGGAGTCCCAGTCTTCACTTTGTGCCTGCTCACAAGACCTGGCACAAAAGATCTTTGTCCATGTCCATGACTGAACATAGCAACTGTTCCTCTCCATCTTACTGTTTTCTTTACTTTGTTTGTGCTTGAAGGTTTTTATTTTCTATCTACTCACCCACCTTATGTTTTAAATGTCAGTCAGTTATCCCATCTTTTTATCTTGGTGACCTCCCTGTAAAACAGGGTTGGTGACATTTCCCTCTCTCACAGAGATGTCACAACAAAGGTGGTTTTTGATGTGTTCAACACCATGAATGATCTAAGCCTCATAAGTACCTAAAGACACCCTTTTAATGTAAGATATTGAACCCCAGACAGAAAAATTCAGCTAGATTATTCCAGATAGTAAAAGAACATAGTCATGAAAGCTATTGGAGATACTATTTTATTTATTCTCTTAGACAAAAAAGCCTCACAGCTGTGCCTAATACAGGCTTTTCCTGTATTAGGAAAAGGCCCTGGCATTGCTTGTCATCTTGCTCTGTCATTTTCTGCTTCTGTCATACCTCTCTTTGCAAGGTCAGCAAAGCCTCTCCACCCACATCCTTCAAATTCCTAAGCAGAGTTTGTTCTAGGTGAAAACCTGTGCCTGTGCTTTAACTTTAGAAGTCACCTTTATTTTAATTGTCTGTTTCACAGAGACAGTGAGTTCTTGCAACCTCCTTCAGTGGAGGGAAACAACTATGTACATGAGCCTCAGCAATTCAATCCAACCCAACAAAATACTTACTTACAATGCTTATTTACTGAGGTTTTTTGTTACTGTTCTTGTCCTCATCCTTTCTCCTTTTTATTCTGAATTTCACTATGATCAGTTCAGCGTGAACTGCTGAGGACAGAACTCAAAATTCTTCTAAGCGCAGTTTCAGGACTTGATCTAGGGACTTTTTGATATAGTTTGTAATATTTACTCCTGAGGTATAAAAGCTGGTATTGCTTAGGCTACTGCAGTAGAGAGAAGAGAAAATGTACATGTTTAATAGGAAAAAGTGCTAATCCTCCATGTGTGTTTCTAGGCAAAGAAAATGAAGCTCACAGATGAGCATTTGTGAAATATTTGTAGCATAAAAGACCTATTAGCTAGAGTTACTATGCATTCTCCAGAGAAAAATACTCAGAAATCAAGACTGAAAGTTTTTTAAAGAATTTATGTTTTGATGTTCTCTATTGTTTTGTCTTAAGATCATAGAATTCTAGAATATTTCTGTCTTAAGATCATAAGATTATAGAATATTTCTGTCTTAAGATCATAGGATTCTAGAATATTTCTGCCTTAAGATCATAGGATTCTAGAATATTTCAGATTTCAAGGGACCTCAAGACATCACAGTCTAAGGTCCTGCTCAAAGTAGAGTCAGTTATTGGCCAAACCACATTACTCAAAACTTTATCCAGTCTGGTCTTAAGAACATCCAAGGATGACTTTCATCCTACTCTATGAGTAAAGTCAAGCTTCCCTTCATTGTGAATCCAGCAGAACAGCAGTCAGAGGGTATAACTTGTATCTCATACGCTGTTGCAGCTCTTCCCATTGCCTTTTTCCAAATGATCACATGAATCAAGGCCTTTATTACAATACTGATGTCAGGAAGCACATGCTTTGTCCTGTGGTTTTACACAGTTATTTCTAGTTCCAATGACTCATGAAAGAAGAGACTATAATCCAAGACTGGATATTTCTCCAACTGTGCATTGTAATGAGAGAAGGAAGAGGGATAGATTTGTTTGTCTGGCTGTTTTTAATGACTGTTGTTAGGAGTTGCACAGGCGGTTGGGATGTTGGAAGGAACCAGCTGAGATGAGTGAGTGAGTGAAGGGCAAAGAAGGTGGCCAAAGTATGTGATAAATAGTTTAACATATGGGTCATTTGTGTCCAACCCTCGGTGTATGTACAGCCCCATCACATATTGCAGTGAGCACGGAATGCCAATAAGGCTTTGGGTAACACTGTGGTCCATCAATCCCAAAGAATGTAGTTGTCTCTTGAAGGCAAAGGAATTACTGATGCAGCTTAAGGGATCTGTGCAAGGCTGTGGATCAGTTGCCAAAGTCAGGAATGGAGCTATTTCCAACTCCCCACCCAGAATGCACACTTCTCCCCCGCCAACAAAAGACTTCATTGAGTTTAATCTTTTGGTGCTGCCTCTCACCCCTTATCAGTTCTTCTTTCATTGAAAGGAGATTCATCTTCTTACACAGCAAAATAGCCTTGGGATCTCAGCAACCTGAGAGTTTGAAAGCAGCTCCTTCCATTGCTTCCTCACTTCTCAGAGTCTGACTCTCCTGGCCTTGAAATACAGGCTGACAGCATCTTTCTTATAATTTTTCTTCACTCAGAACTTACTGGACATAGGCACAAGTTGTTGCTACCTGACAGCTATGCAGAAAGAGTGAACAAGTGGCACCTAAACAACATTTTCTTATTTCTGTTTGTCAAGGATGCTGAGCAAAAGCATTCTGCAGAGGGATGGGGGTATATCCCACTACATGGCTGTGTGTGCAAAAGGACTGGTGTACATGCATTGCTAAATGCAGAAAAACCTGTGAGCCACAAAACCTGTATTCTGGGAAAAATGCCATTATATCCATTCTCTAGATCCATATAGTGCAATTAGCTAGGAAGAGGTACAGAGGAAAGAGAAGGAGGTAGAGCAATAAATCTCTTCTGCACTGAAAAAATATGAGTGGAAGAGGTGTTTGGGTGAGCTAAGGTTTCATTAAGATCATCATATGCCTTTTCTTCAAGTACAAGCATTCCATTTTGATTGCAGTGGCAGTCAAAATCTCTTCTCTCCTATTTCTCTCTCTTTCCCACCTTCTACATAAACACAGAAGCAATTTATACAATTTGGAGCAATTTCCTTTAATTTTTTCTTTACCAGAAGCAAGTCAACTGCACCAAAGAATCACTGAGAGTGTATACCATGCACCGATGGATTCCAATGCAAGCAGGTAACCACAGCTACCATGGCACATTCAGGGCCATGTTTTGTCTTGCCTTTGTGCTTTTGCAGTACAAAAATTCTGAGGGTTTTGTATTTAGCTTCCTGGGTATGAACTTACTTGGTTGTCTTCAAATTCTTTAAAGATAAATTCATAGTAAATACACATAAAGATTTTGCTCATGGGGGGACTAAAATCACAATTCTGCATTGATTAGCTCAAGTTTAGGCAAAATGTATTGGAACATTTCCAGATGTTAAATGGAGCTGTCAGCAAATTTTTGTAATGGCCCAATTGCTGGGCAAGTTTAATGTAAGTTGGCACAGGATATCGCTGTAACATTTTAGCAGGATCAACCAAACCAGGAGGTCCAAGGTAATACAGCCAGCCATTGAGGGCTGTACAACTCCATGCAAGAAATACTAAACACATGCAGTGCTAAATCCTGCACCGTATTTTCTCTAGGCTTGGTTACATTTGCTTTGTTTAAGATTTAAGGGTGGAAATCTTTCAGCAGAACCACCTTGGGGATAGGAGAAATTTATCCCAGTAAGATATGAAATGCAAGCACAAAAATGTTTCAAAATAATCCAGACATGTGTCCTTCTTATAAGGCTCCTAAAGTGAGATTTTTTCCAGAGCAGAAATTATAGAAAAAATATGTAAACAGCAAATTAATTAACTCCAGGAAGAAAGGCCGTGTGATTAGCTATTTGTCCTAGAATGGATTAAACCAAAGGAAAAATGAAGCACTTGTTGTCCTCACTCTGCCAACTGTGCCAGAGAAGGAGAGGTCAGATGCTCCTGCTCCAAATGCAAGCAGCCCCAGTTGTGAAAGGTGCTGTAGGTAAACCAGTGGCAGACAGTATTAGCTAGAGAGCAGACATTATCATCAGAGCTCTGCCAGTGGTTGGAGAATAATTAATCACTGAAATTTTATCTAACCAATAGACAACCTCTTCTGGGTTGCCTGTGTGTAACAGTGACTGTTGCTTATCGGGAATCGTCAAACCTGTGCTGTGACATTAATGAAATCTGTTTGCAGGATGCTCTCCCCTCCCCAGGCTGTATCTGTTCCATGACAAAGACTATCCCCTTTACTTGTTTATGTGCCACCACAACACTTGTGCTGTGACATTAATGAAATCTGTTTGCAGGATGCTCTCCCCTCCCCAGGCTGTATCTGTTCCATGACAAAGACTATCCCCTTTACTTGTTTATGTGCCACCACAACACTTGGGACTGCAATTCCATGAGATAAGGCAGGGCTGGTTTGACTCAGGATTGGAGCTGAGGTGTTGGCAAGAGGGACACTTAGAGCCAGTGCCTGTAATACAGGCAGTTATTGAATGTCCCTGAGTCCTGTTCAATCTATTTCAATTCTCTCTCTCTGTAAATTCTTCCCCAAAGTTTCACTGTTAAATCCTAAAATGAGATGCCCTGAGGTATCTATTGCTGCTGTATCTCTCTCAAGGCATGGTTGCTGCATTTCAGTGATAATGAAATCATCCCTTTGTATTGTTTTCTAATCTATTTAAACATATGAAACTTAAATATATTATTGTTCTAACTGCTTAACTATCTTCTTTGTTGGAAATGACTGATTCAGTCATACATCCATGTAAAAATATCCTCTGCACATAGATAAACACAAACACTTAGAGTTTGACTGCAGATGCTGTTTCAGAAAAGCTCGTGTGTTTTCTTGGTGACTTTCCCACAGCTGTAAATCTTTAACTCTGTCAGCTGCACATCTCATAGTTATCTCAGCCCAGCTGAGAAGGAACAGAGAAAAAAGAATAAGGAAATGTGAGTGTGCTTTGGATTTGTTCCCATATTTATTTTAAGCCCAATTTTGTACCTGACATTAGGCTGAAAAATCACATTTTGATTTAGTACAGGAGGTAAGAGAGACCTTGCTAAGGTTCCATCAGAAACAGATCAGAGGTTCAAATACAAAGCAATGAGTCCTGTGCCGCTTTATAGTTATGAAAGTTATTCACAGATCTCTAGTGTTCCAAATGTTTTAATGTTTGTAATGATATCTCAGGCTTTCCCTTACAGCAAAATAAACCCTATGAATGTTCAGTTTAACAGTTCATTGTTAATTGTAAGCAGCAGTGTAATTGCTGATACATGTTAATAACAAGCATTTTGGCAAAGAGGATTTCAAGTATGTAGATACAGTGAAACGTACGGAGCAATCTGTGAAAGATAACAGTCAAACACCCAAATTAAACCACCAGACATTTGCAAAATAATGAGGATAAGAAACATGAGAAAATCTTGCAGCTAGAATGTCCTACAAACCAAGGGTGGGAGGGTCCTTCCTGTTACAGACACAAGACCAGTACCTGTGCAAATCTGTCAAGGCGGATCCCCTGTGGTCTGTGGTTCAGCTGTAGTCAGGAATATCCCACTGGGATTCATGTGTCCAAAGAGAAGAAACAGAAGTTGGGGGAAGCCAGTGGAATTCACATGTTCCTCTATGCATGGTATGACCTCTTCATGACCATCCAGTATCCATTTCTCTCCTGGAGACAAATGCAAGCTACAAAGGATGGAAAAGTGGGATTTTCTTTCCTAAGCTGGTTTTCCCCCTCCTTCCTTCTAAATTGGTTGGATTTGCAAAAAGAGCTTGTGCAGACAACCAGCTTGTTTCTCCATTTTTCTCAACTCTCACAGAGCACATCCCATAGTGTGTGGTGCAGAGAGGAGGCAGGGGCTGGGATGACTTTTATCCGCTACAGATGCAGGCTTCTGTAGCACAGAATTTTAAAACCTGCTCTTTGTTCTGTAGGCTTTCATGTCTGAGGAGAAAAAGAATTCTTAGTGCTCAGTGCTCTGTTAGGCATTAACCAGGAATGTAATTATTTTTATATTTCTCTTGTCCCAAGGTATAGCAGGAAGTCATCAAGTATTTATGAAAACAAATCTGAGACATCAAACGTGGAAGCATCTAACAATAAAAACAGGAATTCCAGTCCCAGCGCCAAACAAAAGAGAGGTAGGAGTTCTGAGACAGAGCTTTTGCTTCCAAAGGGTAATATTTTTATAATTACACATATTTGTGGTGTTTGATGAGGATACTTTAAATGTATGTTGTTTAAACCCAACATCAAAAAGACAATGCTGCAAAGCTGAGCAACTGTACCATGAAACTTCCTGAACACCAAGAAGTGGTACTTGTTTAGGATTTTTAAGTCTGAATTTTGATGCATTACAGTGTTCTTTATGAAACTTGTGTTTTTTAAAAATAGAATTTGGGGGACAATAGTATATGTATTTTAACCTTCTGTATCCTGGTGAAATTGGTTTCTAGATACATTTAATTTTAAGACTGTCTGTGGACTTTGCTAAGTGATTTCCTTGCTGTATGTCTGAGGCTTTTTGCATCCTCTAACTATAGGTTCCCTCTGGTGTATAGAGAATACACCCACACACTGTCACAGAAAGTGCCTCCACTGTTTGAGGGCATAAGTACAATAGATATTCTGTACAGTGTAGGTTAAAATGAACTGAAGATGAGAAACTGAATCTCATCTGACAGTAGCAGGAACGGAAAATCTTTTGACAGCAGTTTCTCTTTCAGGCAGTATTTCTAAATGCTAGAGCAAAGAATTTTCTAATAATATAAAATGAAAATTGTGAGGTCTTAAGAGACTAATGCCCAAATGAGGCTTAAAGTAACAGCCCCTTCATAAATAGAGATAGTAAAAAAGAAAGTGGAATATATTCTCTTTGAAAAATAGGCTATTTGCCAAAAGATTTTTTCATTTCAATAAGTTTTCATGGTGAGAAATGAAGTTATGGATTCTTCAGTTAAAAATCCAATCTTAAAAATTTTTTTCAGTATATTTTTTTAAATATAAACTTTTTAGAAATTAGGAAAGTGGAAAAGTGGCTTTTCATTTGAAATTCATAAACCCCTTTAAAAAAAATTCCAGGAAAATGATTGATGTTTTTAACTGGTCCAGCTAAGCAAGAGTGTGGGAACTGGGATCACCCTACGTACTGATTGTCATTCTTCTGTCTTGGCTTTCCCATGACCAGCTCCTCAGGGCTCTGGCTTTGATCCCACTAGCTCAGCCCAGAGCCTCCTCATCCTCTGCTGGGTGGCTGCTCCTGCAGAGCTGGGCAGTGAGTCCCTTCTCGTTTTGGGATTCGGGTGTCCTGTGCATCCTGGGCTGCAAACCAGGCTGCACAGAGCCACCAGCAAAGAGCTCTCCAGCTTTAGATGTCCCACCAAAACTTGTGTCCCTGTGAGGCACCTCTGGCTGCTCCTCTGCAGGGGCTGAACTGAGTTTTCTACATATAAACCCGTGGTTGGTGTGGACCTGACTGGTGGAGTCACTGCCTTGAAGCCATATGGGAGCAAGTCCAGCAGGGCAGTTGGAGCAAGTTGCTCACGGCCATGTCCTGCTGGGCTCTGAATAGCTCCAAGGATGGTGACTCCACAAATGCCTTGGGGATGCTGTCCCAGGCTTTAACCACCTTCACAGTAAAAAAGTTTTTTTCACATTTTAGAATGGAATTTCCTGTATTTCAATTTGTGCCCATTGCCTCTCTCATCCTGTCACTGGGCTCCACTGAGAAGTGTCTGACTCTGTCTTCTTTGTTTGGTATGATCCGCCTTTTTCAGCCCCTTCTCCAGGCTGAAAAATCCTATTTCTCTCACTCTCTTGTCATGTCAGCTGCTACAATGCCTTAATCATGGCCTTTCACTGGATTTACTCAAATATCCATGTCTGTCTTGTCCTGGGGAGCCCAGGACAGGACAGCATTCCAAGTGTGTCTCTCTCGTGCTGCAAAGAGGGAAAGCATCACCTCCCTGGTCCTGCTGGCACAGCTCTCCTTAATGCAGCCCAGGATGCTGTTGGCCTTCTTTGCCACAAGTACACATTGCAGGCTTATGTTCAACCCACTGCCCACCAGGACCTGGTCCTCATTATGTTTGGAAATGGCTTCCAGGGTTATCTGGTATACTTGCAGAATAAAGGAAAAGGTTTGAAATAACTCAGGTTATTTCAAAGACAATGTGAATTTAGAGACCAGTGTATAGTGCTTTGCTGGTGCTGAAAGGCTGGGGGGACTTGTGAGATCCTTACGGGGTTCCTCAGTGCAGTGATGTAACTGCAGAGCTGAAGAACCAACATTGAAACCTGACCCCTGCAGACATGCACTGATGTGTTTACCATGGGACTCTGATAATGAAATGCTATGGATTTTTTTGCCCTAAGCAAACAGAAAGTAAGTGCATTTTATATACCAGTTTCTGGATTCTTTATAAGCTACAGTATCTTTACAAGGTTGCCTCGCAGTGGGAGCAGCTGTGGCAGGGAATGGTTCTTAGGCCAGCACAGATGGTCTGACAGCCAAAGGCAGCCCCACAGCTGAAACCACCACTCAGTAGCAATTCCTCACCACATGCATCTGCCTGGCCCAAAGCTGGCATCAGGACACTGGGTAGCAGGAGCTGAAGCACACTGACATAATACTTCTGTGTTGTTGAAATCTGTTAACCTCACACCCACCTATGCATGCAGGCACCTTGGATCCTGGATTATCTTGGCTGCAAATCAGAAAGTGATAGGATGCACTTTCCTTTGGAAGCACAGCTTGTCTGTCGCTTGTCCATCAGTGTGGATTCACTGTCTCTTTGTGCTCCCTTTGTACTTCTGGTCTTCATTTGTCCCTCTAATGATTTTCACTTGGCAGCGTATGAAGTAAAGAAGAGGAAAAACAGCCAACACATGGTCTTTGTCCTGTTCCTTTGCCATAAACCTTCTGTGTGTTACCTGCCCACACTAAGAGAGGAGCAGATGCAGAATTTGGCAGGAATGTGTGGATCTGGGGGTTTGATCTAGGTCCACCTGTTTCCTGCAATGCAAGTAACTGAGTATCTTTCAAACCCAGAGCCTCAGGGTGTGACTGATCCCAGGGTTTGTGACTGATCCCTTTAGAGGCGGCTGTCAGGCAGCATGGCTGGCTTATTCCCGAGGGAGCCTGGCATGTAAGCTTTGCTGGCATGGCATCCTTACATCCCAGCAAAGCATGAGATCAATTGCATGACTATGTGCCCGCTTTGGAGGCTGTTAGGAGGACTGTAGGAGGTAAGGCTGAGAGCACATCAGCTTTAGGGCAGACAAGGGCAGACTGCTCAGTATGAGTGCTGGATAGCAGAAGTGGGACTGCTCACAACACTTGCGTGTCTTGCACTGCAAGGCTTCTTCTGTTACTTCTCCCTACAACCTTGTTGTTCCAACCACAGTGATGTGTTTTCACAGTAAAAGGCACTAGATCCTTTTTAATGAGCTTGCTGCTAAACTGTATTTTCCTTTGATGAGAGCTACATCCCTTCACCTGTTTTTCTTTGGTTTTGTTTTGTTATTGTTCTCCATTAAAACTCAGTGAGCCAAACTCAACCCAGGGGCTCTGTTTGGCTCAGCTGGTTTAATCACCCTGACCTCATGTGACCTTTCTAATTGATTAGCTCTCGCTCAGGCTTGAACTGAATCAAAATTTATTTATTTATTTTTAGTTGTCATCCAGTGCTAACCTTTCCTTTCCCATAAGCTGAACAGCTGACCCTTCCTTCCTTATTTCTCTTCCCTCTCCCTCTCTCTCCTAGTTGATGCTTCCACCAGCCTTAACCTTGAGCGCACAGCGCTTGCTAGAAAGCGATTCACATTGCAAGGTCTTTCCAACCGCAGAGCTCCACCCAAAGGTAAAATCACCCATGCAGCATTTGGTCTCAGGCCATCTGTCTCCTGCACTCCCACAATGTTCTCTCCATCCCATAGTGCCATCCATCACTGTTTCCCAAAGTGCTGCTGCATCTCGCCCAAACACTCCTGTCTGATGCACACATTTGGCTCCTCTTCTCAAAGACACTGTTACCAAAAATTTCTCCCACAGCAGTGTTGGCAAGGCAACCTTTGAGTTGGCCAGTTCGGTCTTTTACTGGTGCACATTGCAAGTAATGGAAATTTCCAGTTTCTCTCAAGGGTCAAAGTGTGAACTGGTTTTAAATGATCAACCTAACTTCTTTCAGCAACTTACAGGCTTGAAGGGAAGAGTACCATCTCTGTGTTGTGCTACACAAGGTTTTCATGTGTTAAATCGTTCATCGGTTGGACCTCTTTGTTTTTTCAAATGTTTCTTATCTGTGGCCTAGTGATTACTCCGGAGAACCAGAATTCAGGAGATCTGGGGTTTATTGCCATTTCTACTTAATTATTTTATATGGTACTATAAAACAGTGTGTTCTGGGTCTTTGTGCATAAATGTTTAACAGATATTTAATATCCATGAGCAGAGAGCACTGTGTGTTCCTGTGATGGCTGTACAAGGAAGAGACTTCAGAGCAAAGAAAGAAATGTGAATAGAAATTAAACTGGATGACTACTTACAATCACTTTCTGAAAAGATACTACGATTACTCCTTTTATTGTTATTGTGTGGCTTTTCTCCTGTTCTGATCAATGATATTTCCTTCATGAGACAAAGGGTTAGTGTGCAGTGATGGAGACGGTGAGCATCAGAGGAAGAAGCAAGATGAAAGAATAAGAAGAGAAATGCAGAAGCAATAAATTGTATTGTTATAAAGTAGATAACAGTGTAGCAAGAGCCATGACAGCCATAAGATTCTGGCCGCAAGGCTAAGGCTACACACGGTATTAAGATCTGAGGTACACAAACTAGTTTGGTGTCTGAATACCAAACCCAGTGATTTCTAGATCCTGTGACTTGGGGAAATTAATTACAAAATACAGATTTCAGAAATAAAATAATTTGTGTGAGTTTGGATCTACAATTTTGGTTTGGGCCCCTTTTGCTTTTTTATCTGAATTTTTCTTTTCATATGAAATGTCTTGCCTTGTACTCAATGTTCCAGACAGTGAAGCACAGCTCAGAGTTCATACCCCCTCAGCTGTAGGCACTCTCAGCTCAAAGGCTTGCAAGGTCTGGTTATTTGGGATTCCTGTGAAACACCTCTATTACCCAATGTGGTGTTTCACCTTGTTGTGCTGTTTTGTCACTGATCTGGTCCTGGCCTAGAGGGAGCCATTGGCAAACAGGCTGGGTGCTGGGGTCATTCCTTCAGGCAAAGCCATATTAGCACGACATGGGCTGGCTGTTCAGGCAGATGGGAAGCTGCGAGAAGGGAATGGGGAAGTCTCTGCAATCAGCTTGTCTTGCTCTTGAACGTTTTGTCTAAAGATTCATTACTGGACGTGGCAGGGGATGGTGCATTGAGCTGAGCACACTTTGGTTCACACCTACTGTGTCTGTTCATGTCCAGAACACACAAAAAGGAAGGTCTAAACAATAAAATACCAAGACTAAATAAGGTGAAAACAAGATTGCTTGATGGATATCAACTGGTAGTGGAGCATGGATGCTCAGAGAAATGCTGAACTGTCTGACTAGGCTGGATATGATGGGGTGGAAAATGTTATATATAAGGACCTCAGTGTTTTGGACAAAGAAATGCTGATGTCAGGAGGAGAAACTTTACTATCCTGCACTCCACTAGTGCAGAGATCCCCCAGGCAGCCTTAGCAGAGCTGGCACCAAAGTCTATCAAAGTCCATACTCAGCACTCTGCGTCTCCCCCATCCTTGGGTCAGCATTAGCCATCCTGGTTGGCAGAGCCAAGCTCCTATTACTTGGTGTTGGTACAACTCCAACACATCTCATAGTGAAATCTGGGGAATTTGTGTCTTCTGAGCAGACTTAGAGAAAAGGCAGGGTCCTAATTGGAGTAAACAAAAATCTGCTCTGTAGCCTTCACTGGTTTGTCCTGGTAAGGATGGAGGCTCAGAGAGTGTTTTTAGGCATTCACACAGTTAACTTCTAGAAATGACATGTGAACTCCAAACCATTCATGTTTCAGTGTACTTCAGGTCAGTCATCACATAACAAGCAGTTCAGTCTAAAATAACCCAAACCTCATCTGTAGACACACACCCCATTCTAGTCATCACGCTCATTTCTCTGTGTTTTGTAGCTGTACTTGGACACTAGTTGGTTGCTAAAATAATAATTGGCATGAGTCTGCTTTCTGAAGTATTAAAACTGATGCAATTGGAATTGCTTTGAAAATATGTCCGTAGCAACTCTTTTTTGTGCTTCTCACTTTGTTGAGGGTATTTTTCGTGTTTGTTTTAGAAGAGCAACCCACCTTTTACCTACCCTTTTCCAGCTGCTGCTTTGCTTTGAACATCTTTTACCCTCAGTGCTTATTAACCTCTAACCCTGCCCTGCATTGCATCTGTCTGTTCTCCCAGATCCAGAGTCTAAGGACAGAGAAGTTACCCGTCGCTTTTCCCTTGCCTCCTCCATCAGCACCACAGTTAATGCTTCTGCTGTGACCAAAGGTACCGTCACACTGCTTGCTTAGCTCCCCCTCTCCCTGCCTGCTGGCTGATACATTCACTGCTAAATGCTATTCACAGAGTGAGTACACCAGGCTCAGTTTTTACAAATGCAGGAGGTTCCAGTAGAAGAAGAGTCAGGACCAGTGTAACACCTGCAGGGAGGCAGCCCAAGACATTTCAAATGTATATCCAGATGTGCTGCCAGCACATAGAATGACTCTTCCCAGTTTCTCCACAGTAGGCTTCAAAAAGTGTTGCTGGTTTCCATGGAAACTGCATTAATTTTTGGCTGATGTGGGGTTAAGTTTCCAACTTCTCCCTGATTTGGATTAACTGAAATTCAATTGAAGTTATTTCTCTGTTTCCTTAAAGCTCTTCAAGATTTTTGCTTTCAAGAAGGAGAGAATCTCCTCCTTGTGCAGCAGACATCAAGAAAGTCTGAAATCAAGCCAAAAATAGATGCCAGTTTTAAGCATATTTAGCATAGTCACAGTTTTGATTAGAAATTATGTTTGCAAGGAATTTTCAGACATGCATGAAGGCACTGACCTCTATGCAGTTCGTGTGGGAATTTATGAAAGTTTTAGGTTTGAACTTTATTTTGAGAAAAGGCAATTTTACAAAATTTACTCTAAGTTACTGCATTAGTACCTACATTTAAACTCTAAATCAACCCATGCATTTGGGCAAGCTGGTTGTGCTGAAAATCAGTAAGTCTGTAGGCACCTATGCCTACGTGTCAGAGATACTTTTAAGAACAGAACATATGGTCTTACAAGGAATTCTGAATATACTGTCTTTTGGCAGGTCTTGGAATTAAGCAAAGGAACTGATTTGCAAGTTTAAGATTTGCAGGGGCAATTCACAAACCAAAATAGAAGGGAAAAATGTCTGAATTAATTTGTATAAAAATCTTTCCTCTGTATTTGTCAGGAAGGAAGTTGCACAGTATTTGGTGCCTTCTCAATAGCTGTGAAGGGTATGAACAGCATCCTTGACTGCCATGAGGCTGTCAGGAAATGAGACTGTGGTGGGATTGATGGGCAGAGGAAGGATGTGACAGTCCCACTACCTACAAATGTTTCTTTGCCAGCCCCTTTAGATGGTAACAGTAAAACACCACCCCATGAAAGCGATGGGCATAGCACAGGAGAAGAGGTTCTTAGAGCTTTCTGTCCTTGGCAACAACTTCAGATATACGTGGTCAGTTACTAAATTATGGGAAGACTGAATTATTTCCTAATAATTATTTTGAAAGCTGAGGAACAGAATGAAGCACATATTAAAAAGAAAATGGGCAACAAAGGGTTGTTCTTTAGTGTGGTTTAACAAAGAGAGCATGTGTGAATTGCAATGAAATTCAAACTCTATTATAGTTTCATATCAAAAAGTCCTGTCCTAGAATCCTGTCTGCCACAAGACTGTTGGCAGTCTTTCGGAATCCTGAGAAAGCAGCTTTTGTAATGATTTTAAAAGCTAGAAAATAAAATCAGTGCTTTTCAATTAAGTATTTTATTTACAGCATCTCTTTTAAGAAACTATTTCAGATGACAAAAGAACTGAAGCCTGAGTCTTGCCTCAGCATCAGCCCAAATTCAGGTCTAGCCAGGGTATTTGAATCATCACTTTAAAAGGCTACAGCTACTGCTGTGTCTGATCCTCACTGCTGACAGTTCAGCTCCCTCCACATGTGGAGTCGGGGCTCAGGAGAGGCTGTGACAGGTGTCCTCCACTTCCGTGGGGTGTTAAGTGTTGGCTTTTGTGGGCTCTGCCCTGGCAGTCTCACGGGTGAGAGCTGGGATTGTGAGTCTGGCTGCCTTAGTGCCATCTCCTGGTCAAGAGTGAGAGGGAACATCTGTGAGACCTGATGGGAAGCAGATACTTTTACTGTGATGTCTCAATGTCTTTTGCTAAAAGAGGTCTGTTTCCTATCTACTTCACAGAAGTGCTTGTCTGCACCACCTAGAATTTAGTGGTTGACATTTTTTCTGGGTGAAATGGAGAGTCCTAAGAAGGTAGTGTTTCCAGGTAATGGGAAAGCAAGTTTCTCCTTTAACAATATTTACAGCCTTGTGACTTTGTAAACTTCACACAGGTCCCCTTGTTCCTGCAGTTAAAGTCAAGAGACATGAAATAAAGAGTGACCCAACTCCCCTGGGGTTTGAAGGTATGAGTATTTCCATCCTGCATGAAAACCTGTTTGGTGATCATTTGATATTATTCACTGAATTCACATCTCATCACAGCTGGCAGATGACACTGGAGTCCACTGGGGCTTTGGGGTCAGTTTATCTGTATAACTGGGATAAAGACAGCTTGTCACTCCCTTGCCTGTCCCCAGCACTCATGTTATATTCATCTAGGGATGGGCCTGAATTAAAACCCCAATTCTCTGCCTGTTTTGGGAAGTAGTGCCCTAGACTATCACCTGGATCTGGATTTTCTGCCTAGCTTCTGGCTCTCTCCATCAAGTGTAGCTGCAGGGAGCCAAGGGGCTACTTTTCACCCTCACCTGCAGTCTGGCCACTTGCATCCCTCTTCCCTTGTTAGTGTCTATACCTAGAGAGAGGAGCAGGAGCCATGTGCATGAAGACTACAGAAGAGGCTAGACTGTGCATCAACAGCCATTTTAAGGTGCAGTGTTTCATTTCAGACAAGCAAAATTTCCACCTATTTGTTGCAGCAGATTAATCAATTACTGCTTAATAAACAATACAAAAGAGTTAATTTGGGATGCTGTTACCCAACTACTGAAAGATCACCAACTTCCATTGTCAGTTTTCCCCTTTACCAGAGTGTTTGCCAGAACCTGGGACACAAGGAGCCAGGTACCCCTGCTGCAGGAGAGAGAGGAGAGAGATGTAGGCCGAGGAATTCTTTCTTAGCGTTGTGTCATTCTGCACAAAAACTTGGTAGAAAGAGCAGGTGAACAGGTCAGTGACAGAATCAGTGACATATCAGACCTGTGTCCTGTGTCACCCTCAGCAGGGAAGAGACTGGAACAGAGAGGTTGGAAGAAACAATTCAGAGAGAGCAGAAGTAGTTTTGCTGTTTGCAGAATATTTCCTTCTGCCAGTGACCCCTGGCACTACGTTTAGAGTCATCCTGGCACCCGGCACCAGAGTTTCCCAAACTGTGGTGTTTATACCTCACTTTCCTCACTGACAGATAGCTCTGGTCTCAGCATACCATGGGGCTGCAGAGGTAGGGGGGATTTCAAAGTACAAGGACTAACTGTAGCATAGAACTGACTTGCTCCTCATTGCTTAAAACCAAGGTCCTACTGCACAACATCCATCACCAGACTGAGTTTCTTTAAGGAGGAAACAATGAACTTTATCATCCCTTTACCAGAAGATATTGCTGCTATTGCCAGGGCTCTAACAGAGGTAATAATACAAAGGATTTGATGTACTTAGATAAAAATGTCCCCCCCAACATTGCATTGCATTCATCAAGAGTGAAATAATTCATTTCTGGCCTCCCTGGTCCCCTGTTGCTGCATCAAAACTATAGACCATCACCTACAGAATGATTTGAAATGCTGCAAGGAAAACATGTTAAAAATGGGTAAGGAATCTGTAATGAAATAGAACACTGCACTGTTCTCCCAGCAATCGTTTTCCTTAATTAGCATCAATATATCTGTTTGATTCATTTGGCTGTTCTCTGTCCTTCTCAGACTTACAGTTTTTCTGTGGAATGCTGCTGTCCTTTCACTCATTTGTGCTGGTCATGTGTCTCCTCTTTTATAACTGTTGGACCCCAGTCCACCTGTTTGTTAAAAAGACTGCCAGTAGCAGAGGTGATGCAGGAATTCACTTTGTACTGGTTGTCTGGTCACTATTTCACCCTGAAGACACAAACTGTACTTCCTGTCACAGATGCTTTTGAGAACACCATATTGGCCCAGACTAACTCTAATACCGGTTCCACCATGAGATCCGTACCTAGATCTGCTTCACAGACAGGTAAACACAATTAAAGAAGTTATAATCTCATTTTGAGAGTGTAATCTAAACTTATGATAATATTTACTCTCTTTAACATAAAGAGATTTTTCTCTCCTGGTGAATATAACTTCCCATCAGAGCAATGAAAGAACAAGCTTGGATCACTAGAAACAATGCCTCAGATTCTGGTTTTCTGAGGCCAGGAACAGATGAAAATAATGCTTTTAACTGATGCCAGAGAGCTCAGAATTTGATGTCTTATTTTATAGCTTGAATTAAGTACGTGAAACTTGGGCTATTTCTTAGTCTCTGAAATTAGAACAGCAATTTGTATGGAAGAGAAAGGCTGATGCATATATTTGCAAGGAATCCTTGCTGGTGAGGTTTCTGCCTTGGATGCTTTCTGTAAATGACAGTGGCAAAAGATTACAGAAACTTTGTCTAAGGGGGAAGAGGGATATCTTTTTCTTTTGGTATTTGTAGCCCAACCTGTGAATTTGAACTAAAATTGCTGTAGCAATTTGAAGTTAATTAGCATCAATATATTCTTGTATGTTTAGACACTTGCCAGTATTTTGCTTGTGTGAATAAACTGATAGAGAATAGTGTCACTTCAGAGGCTGCTTTACACCCTTAAAAGTACAGATGACCAAACCATACCCATGGGGTTATAGCTGGGGTCACAGCTCTGGAGGAAGATGGTTGCTGTGTCCCTTTTAACTGGATTTCAGCTGTGGGAGCAGTCACAGCCCCTGGGAAACAGGAGGGAGGAGAAGGGGCTGCAGAGCTGCATGACCACATGTTGCACCAACCAGTGCCTATAGCAGGGAGGATGTGCATGGGGAGGGATTAAATAAATCAATTAATAAACCTATTTCTCCCAGATCACTTTTCTGTTTGCTACTTGAACTACCTGGCTTAATTTTGTATTGTCCCAGGCCAGGTTTTGGTGTGGGTTGTGAGTGCTGGGATATGTAATCTCACTATGTGAACATCTCTGTGCACTGTAGTCAGAGCACTGCTTTGCCTTGTCAAGCAGTGGCCCACAGGATGTAAAGAATTTGGTTCAGCATCTGCTCAGCCCAAGTCCCTCTGAATCAGCTGATGCAGAGCAGGTACATTAATTAGGAAGCACATGGTGGTTTGACTGACTGTTCAGCTTGTATCTGTCAGGGCTGCAGAAATCTTTGGGACATGGAAGGTCTGTTTCCTCTGAGCTGGACTGTAGTCATTCCCATCCCCACCAGAAAAGGGACAGGCATCAAGTGAAGGAAAGTGCAGATCATGATTTCTCTCTGTACAGAAGAGTCTGAGTTACTTTTGCATCATGGGAGCCTCAGACAGGCAGATCTTATAGGGCTCAGCCTCAGTTTCCTTCAGGACACATCCTATGGACATACCTTTGTAGGTAAAGAAACTGGGGCTGTTGTGCTTGAGCTGGAAATCTCTCATTAAGTCCCTTCCACTGGGCTGGGGTGGTTCTGAGTGTAAATCATGCAAGAAGACTCCTAGGAGCAGAAATTTGAATGAGACCTTCCCTCCATACCCCCAAGGTCTGATTTTCTTTGTGCCTTGCTCTTTATCCTGTCCCTTTCCTGCAATTCCAGCCTTCTCCAGGGTATAGTTCTGTAAGTTGCTTGGGTGGTAATATCCCCTTGGGGTGAGATGGAGATAAGAAGTCAACAAAAATTCCATGGCTTTGGACTTCAATTTATAGATAGACATGTGGAGGTAAGCTGGAAACGGAATGAGCGTGGCCTTCTGAAAGTCACATCAGCACCAGTTATCATTTGCTCCAGCACTGGCTCAGCAGAAATATTCCTGGTCCTTGCTTTTTGTACCTCCTGAAATGAAGGGATTTTGCAATGCTAAACACTGGAGGCATTGATGGATGTGCACACTGTGGCCACACAGTCTGCCCTCCTACTAATGACAGCGAGTGGTACAGGTTTTTAGAGACAAAATAATGGCTGTGACAAAATTTTTGTGGCAGAATCAGGGAATAAGCTATAAAAAGGTACAAGCAATTCTGTAAGTAGAATAGTAAGAAGTGAACCTGTGACATTTATTTTATAAAGACTGATTCTGAAAGAGGCTAATGACTGATAGCTAACTCCTCTTGGTTTTTATGTCCTTTGAAAAGGTTGGCCCAGCAGGCAAATGCCTTCTCTAGACACATTTGAAGATTTTGAAGCCATCCCTTCCAGTATGGATGAACTCTCGAACTCCTCTGACTTGGAGGAAGAGACCAACCCTAATAATGTAATTCCTTTTTCAAATTACACTGCCCTTTTCCCAGCACAACCTCCTCCCCTCTAAGAATCATGATGTAACCTACAAAGTTTGGGTTCATACCAATGTTAAATTCATAGACATGTGGGAATACAGAAGATGGGAATTTGATCTGGGTTATTGGGAGATTATTCCAAGACTATTTGGTTGATCAGAATGAGAAACATAAAAAAGTCACTCTTACTTGTAAGCTGTCGCTTTACTTTTTACAAAAGTGAGGGAAAACTCTGAGCCTTTAAAAAAGTAACTTCAGACTTTCCCACATAACTTCACCTGGTGTCACAAAACCAATTTTTATGTCAGAATAATGGCTGGCTGGTTAATCCTAAAGCCTGAATGCACAGCACAGTTCTGTCATAATTTTGAATAATATTTAACCTGGGCATGATAAAAGGAATAAGAAGATACACAACTCCCTACAGAAGAAATCTCTGCCAGCTTGAAATGCCTAATTTAGTGTTTAACTAAACTCACTCTCTCTTGCACTCATAGTGACTCTCTTTCTGGTGCCTTGTTTCATTCATTTTAGGGGAGCAATCTTTTTCGGGTGGAAGGCAGCTTTGACAGCTGTTTCCCGGATTCTCTGACTCTCGAGGATGGAGATTTGGTGCAGTTTGTGCAGGAAGGAGAGAACGGTCAATGGTAAGTACAGCAGAGAGACAGGACTTGACAGGTAAAACAGCCATGAACTCCTGGAAAAGATGGAAAATATTCAGAAGAATGTCAAAGTCTCTTCAAAATCAATCCATATCCCCTCACCCCATTAACCACAACATGAAAGAGGCAGTGGGAGGCATGAACACACAAGCAGCTTTGGTTAATTCCACCTGGTTGACTTTCATCCCAAATGCTTGTGACAGGAGGCTTACGAGGACAGAAGTTTGTATAAAGGAAATGGAGGGGATTATCCAGAGTTTTGACACTTTCTAGGCAGAAGGGCACTGTCAAAGGCAGAACCCCCCTATAGGATACATCCATAAAATCCCCATGCCTTCCACTGAGAGCATTTTTAGCCTGGAAGGTTTTGATATAAGATATGACTGACAAAGGGGAATGAGTCTGGCCTCCCCTGAGCTCACATATGTTTTGGTGCATTTATTCTCTCTTACTGCAAAGTGAGTGTTAGGAGCCAATAAGTGTTAGTGCCCAGACCTGCCTGCACATCTGAATTCTCCCTGCATGGGCAGTTTAGAGGAAGAAGATCTGATCTCTTTGAAGTACCTGTGCAGTCAGACCCTTCACTCAGAACTGACATGCAGCTGAGAAGGGAGCAAGTTCCATAGGGTGAAGTAGTTGGGAAGCGAACTAAACCCATCCTCCCTGGTATTTACAGCAATGGGGACGGATAATATGATATATTAATTTTCTTTAGCTTTGAATTTAGAATCATAGAATCATTTAGGCTGGAAAAAAACTCCATGGAGTCCAACCATTAACCCTGCACTTCCAAGCCCAAGGTCAGTGTCTCAAACACAGGCCAAGGCTCTGCTTCCGTGTCACACAGTCTGCTTGAAAGTGATCTGGGATTCTGGGTCACCATCGGAGACTGAAGAAACTTAGTCACCAGGTACCTGTAGGACTGCCTTGGGTCCTCTGCCTTCTTCTTCAGTTTAGGAAATAGCTGCCAACATGCACCTCTAAGAAACACAACCCAGGGAAAGGGAATGTAGGAAAATTCACTGACTGTTCTTTGAGTTTCAGGTTAGTGAAGAAACTGGTCTCTGAGAAAAGTGACTGGGTTCCTTCCAGTATATTGCAGCCAGCAGAGGGGGACAGTAACAACATAATTAAGAACAGCAATGCAGGTAATAGAGAAAATGTGTTACTGGCATTTATTTTTTATTTCCATACTGGAAAAGGATGTGATAAAAAAAGATGTGATAAAAAAGTGCACTTTTTGTTTTAGAGGACTCACCTGAGTATATGTGTCGCAGTCTCTGGTGATGTGGCTGAGACAGCCTGAAATTTGGTGCCTGGGTGTCAGAACTAGTTAAGGCACAGCAGCTTTCTTTGGCATGCTTTAATTGTTTACCCCTCCCTGGGCAGAACTTGAATCTCCCACCAAACTTCTGTGGCTACTGGTCCTTTACAGCCAGCCCAAGTGTGTCATATGGTGGGGTGTGCCTGCAGGATAGCTTTGATCCTGACATGGATAGCATTTTGGATGGAGATCAGCATCAGGGCTGTGGTTCTGGCCTAGGTTTGAAAACATTAAGATTTCATGACCCATTACTGCTTTCATCATATTTCACAGCTGGCTCCAAAAGCTGGAGGAAAGGCTGCTCTGGCACAATTTCAGCCAAATCAGCACTAAAAGTCATCCTTTCTTCAGCTTTGGTTCTGACCTAACACCCAAACAGGTTGCACTGGAAAAGCTGAATCTCAGCAACTCCGCACATCAAAGGTTTAAAATTTTAGACTAATTTTTGCCCATCCTTAAATATAATTTACCAAAATGTGTCCTGCTTGTCTTCTGGTAACAGAGGAAAGCAAAATCTAGCAGACCTGCAAACGAGAGTTACCAGCACTTTATTCTGAGTTACTGGTCTCTCTTGATTTTTTTTTTTCTTTGGTTAGTTTGTTAAAGTGGAGGAAACCTTTTCAAACCTCAGGATTCTTTGCTGTGGTTTAAGGGGAGTTTAGTGCTGCTCCTTCACCTCCTCAGCAGGTCAGTTCTGTCTTCACCCTCAGTGCCCAACTATAGCTCTCATTTCTTTGGCATGTCTAATGCTTCAAAAGAAAAACAAAACCACACACACATTACAGTTCATTATATGCCAAAAGAGCCTCCCTTGCCTTTAGTGAAGGAATTAGGAGAACAGTGGAATTGTGATTATTTGTGTTTTATTTTATTTCAGGCTTTTAACAAAGAACCTCAAGACTGTAGATGGAAAATCCTATAGACATATTGTAGTGACAATGCCCATGTCCTCCTTTTCAGACATGTACAACGATTCCTGCAGTACAGCCTCAGTAGAGTCAGACACGAAGGAAAGTGAGGTGGCCAAAAGCTTCCCAGCAGAACAGAGGGCTGGCAGCTGAACAGCAGGACCAGCCTTCCTCAGGACCCCATCCATCTGTCTTTATTTTGGGTGGACACTGGATCAAAGTTGCCTTTCTCACAAGCTCTGAGGTTCACAATTCACTAAAACTTTATCACCATGAACAGACGAGAACTGTGCTGTCCACCTGGCAAGCTGGAAAAAACAAACTTGAAAGGAGCATTAAACATCCAGAAAACATCAAACCTACCTTCAGTGTTAGAGGAGAAAAATGCTTCTTGCATTGGTTATCAAACTGTTTCAGAAGATGTGGCCTAAATTAGGTCGACAGCAGAGCTGAAGAGTTTCTATGCACGCACCTTTTGGCAACTTTGCTTGAGCACCACGTCACTGCACGGGGCACGGGATGGTTACGAGTTCTTGCTCACCTGGACGTTTTTCCATTTGCTTGCCTCTGGCTGTGCCTTCCCTGTCCTCCTTAATTCCAGCTGATACGTCATCACAAACGTGCCCTTTTTGCTATGGTCAACACCAAAACCATCCAATTTTAGGGTGGCTGGGGAAAGGAACCTTCTGACTGGGACCATCAGAGAGGCTCCGCGCAGCAGTGACGTGACTCCCTCGCGATGGCACTGCTGCACACAGCATTCCACAGCTTGGAATGATGCAGGTGGCAGCTCCTGGCTATGACACGGAGGTGCAGGGCTTAGCAGGGAAGTAAAGATATGTAACAGCTACTGTGACAAAGAACATTTTGAACTGTTTTACAATCTTAGTCATTCCTCTGCCCCCTCTGCAGTCCTGGTTGCTGGATCACAACTCTTTGCATTTGGTGCCAAGAATTCAATTGAATGCCATTTACTGTCACATGTTTGAGTAGACTGCATGCTTTCCTCGTGTGCTGGGCTATGAGTAGATACATTTCACCCCCCATTTGGAATATACTTAAGCATTGCAAATAGGCAGTGAGCATTAGAATGGATAAAGTGTTGTTGTTAAATACTTCTTTCCAGGACATTTGATTAAAGGACTGTACCAAATCTCTGCCACATAAGGATGTAATGTATAATATAAAGTGATTAGAGATGTTATTATTCCTATACAAGCCATTAGCTCATTTAGAGCAGCTGTTAAGGCATGAAGGCATTTTGATGGTAATTGGGTCTTAGGTCCCACAAAAGCTGCTAATACTGTAGTAAAGATAAGTATTGACTAGGTTTGCAAACAGGCAAAGATCAATCTGGTAAAAATGATCCTAGAAGAAGCTCAAGAGTGAGTGAGTGGCTTTCACTCTTAGGGATGTTTTGTTGAACCCTCAGTGGTGCTTTATGTAAATAACAAAGGGGACGAAAGCACTAAAAATGGAGACAAAGCAAAACCAAAACCCACTCTTTACTAACTGAGGCTCTGAGCAAAACAGTAGGTGTCTGTCTCACCTCTGCTATCACCGTTGCAGGGACCTGAATGTTTTTCTTTCTGTCTCAGTGGAGGCTGGTGTTGCAAATATCTTAGTGTGTGAGTCAGGATAGCTGTGACACAGGTAGATAGTCCCATTCGAGTAGGTAAAGGCTTATTCAGATTTTTTTTGCCTGTGAAGCCATTGCTTGATTATGATTTGCACTGTGGTGATTAATTCCCATGGCTCTTCTAACCCTCCATATCTGATCCCTGTGATTTTGGACATTTTCCGTTCACGACTAAAGGACCTGAGAGTTCTGTATCTTTTTGGAAAATGATTTTGTCCTATAGAGAGTGGAGCTTACCTGTTTTCTGCTGGTCACTTACCTCAGAAATGACACATAGGCTCTCAGGAACATGAATCCTCTTGGTCTACAGTAGTTCTCAGCATCTTAAGGGAAGAATTCATTCCTTTCAGGAATGAAACATGTGGTGATGTTTTCTTGTAGTACAATTCCTTTATCCTCTCCCTAAAATGAGCCCATTCTGGTTTCAGTAATTTTTGCAGTGCTGCTGTCTACTCCTGCCCTAAGCAGAGGAGAGGGAAGGGTAGGGAGCATTGATTGCATATTAATAAGTACAGTAAGCTTTTGTGTGAGGGAGAGAGAGATGGGGAAGGGTTATCCTGGGTATATGAAACTGCCAAAATGAAGATTTGTGACATTGCTGAGAGATGGAATGATGAAAACCTGCACTTTGGAGTTTTCTTTTTGAGGAATCTCATTCTTATGGTGAAATGGCAGTGGGAAGTCTCTGTTTGATCTGAGGATGAGAAATCAGATACTGCCAGTCCCTTTCCTACCTCTGCTGTGAGCAGGATGACAGTGTGCAAGTCCTATATCCCCTATATCCCTGCAACCCTCCTGTAAAATGGGAGCTATTGAATTTCCCTCCTGTTGAATTATGATGCTAAATTTTACCATGTATGCAAAAACTGGGGACCCTTCAGGGGAAAGCGAAGCTTTGAACCCCATATGTCCCACTGTGCCCTCCATGAGTGCCAGTGGCAGCACCCTGTGGAGCAGCCTAGAGCTGGAGCAGGGAAGAGGATTGCTGATGAAATGTCTCCTCTCCCAGCTCACCATCTCATTGTGACAACTGCAAAGGTATGGGCTGGATTATCACAGTTCTCCTCCCTACTTTGCTTTTGAAAACATTTTTTTTTCCCCTAAAAAATGTTTTATCCTGCTAGACCAAAGTTTGAGTCACTCCTGCTCCACAAGTGTCCTGAGGATGACAGGTAACTCTCTGCCCCACTGCCACTCAGCAGTGGCACAGCACTCTGCTCCTTGGGAGCTGACTGTGCCACAGCTACTCAGACACGCTGAACCTGAGCAGGGAGCCCACAACTATTAATTGTGTCTTTAACCCTCCAGCAGTGCTGGTGAGCCAGAGGCAGTTCCTTGTTCCTGTCTCCACGTTCCAAACCCAGAGCACACAGCAGCCCTGGCAGCTGCTGCTGGGCAGTGACCAGGCCCTCTGTCAGGGAGACAGGGTTTGATTTGAGAAAGAACAAAGTTCAGGGACAGATCAGGCTGCTGACAAGTCCAGGAGCAGCCCATAAAAAGTAACCCTCTGGCTTTGCTGATGAGACAAAATGGGTTTTGATGACTTTTTGTTTTGTTTTGTTTTGTTTTGTTTTTAAAGGGTAGACAGGATAGTCTTTTAATTAGTGTATTTCTGTCAAGCAAGGTGATAATTAAGGGAATGGCTTTCCATGTACAGTCTAGATTATGATCTGGTAATGTCCAGCAAGACTAATGCCTATGTTAAGGTACACTCTGTATGTAGGCCTTTGACCCTATCCTTTTCAGGTAGACACACCTAAAAATCATAGTTTTCAAATATGGATTTCATTTCAGTGTTGTTTGGAGATTAGATAGTGACCAGAAAGTAATTTAAAAGTAACAGCTGCCACTAAGTTTTGGTCGTAGAAGACACAAGATCCCAGGTAAATCTGGGCTGTAGCAGCACTTGTGGCTGAGCAGTGCCCTTGCTGCTGGACCAGTGAGTCCGTGCCAGTTGCCTGCTCTGCTCTCTGGGGCTGTGCTGGTGAGCCCTGCCCTCTGGGCTCAGGGTCCCCTCTGCTCTGCTGCTCTTCTGTGAAACTTGCAGGAACTTCACATCCTCAGAACTGCCCTCTGCTCAGGCAGCTGCAGGTGGGCAGCACAGTCCTTCCTCACCAGCGGCAAAGAGCCGGGCAGTTGCCATGACACACAAGTCTTGATTTTAGTAAACCAGGTTAACATTTAATCAGGGCTCATCCTTTCCTCTCACCTTGAGCCCCACAGGGTGGAGAATCACACTAATGGTCGTTGTCTTGATCATAAACAGCTGCAGCCAAACCACCACATCTGAGCTCTGGCTCTTCTTGCCAGTGACAGCAAAGCTGTGTGTGTGTGTCTTATGTTCTGGTTGTGTGTGTGATGAAAAGCCATTTTATTATCTATGATTTTCTTAGACTCTTGATATTTCAAACAGGATTGGGTATGAGAAAGGCTATGTGCTTCCTTTCCAAAAATATACTCAAAGACTTCAAATATATATATGATTAGAAATATATAAGAATAAGAAGAAAAAAGAGCCAAAATGTGTATTTCTTCTTGCAGCTGGAGCTGAAATAGCTGCTAAGATTTCCTCTCCCCAGCTGAGAATTGGTACAGTTTGTTTTTCTTACATGATTTCCATGGTGTTGATAATGATGTATTTGTATATTGTGACTGATGAGAGATAATCAGACAGGGAAAGAGCACAGAATTACCTGTCCTTTTTTCCAGTCAAGACAGAATGTATGAATTTATTACAAGAAAAAAGTGTGCAAATGAACTTCCTGTAATTAGGCCATTCTGACCTGTGTAGAACCACACTTTGTTTGAAATTTATAAAAATTATAACTAGTACAAAACCCTGTGGTTGATGTCTCTATATGAAGCAACAAGTCAAATGAGGTTTTCCCTATTCAAAATAAATGCATATTAGTAAAGGCACACCATCACAGCTGAAAAAATCCTCATACCTGCTCAGTATAACTTTAATTTGCCCAACACACGTCACAAAAGGCACAGTCTTTGGTTTTTTTTCCCTTTACCCATCTCCTTTAGTCATGTTCCTGAATTCCTAGGACTTTTTGGGTAAGTTCACATAGCTCAGAGGAAGTTGTAGGATGGCTTTATTATAGTTACCCCCTAGATATCTGCATACCTTTGGCTACCAATGTTTATTAGGGAGCAGTAATTGACCCAAATACATGCTGTGGATCATGCAGAAAGGCAAACAGGTAAAAATAAGAATGCAGAAACACAATGCAAATTGAGCAAAATAAACTGGGACTAATTTCAGCCAGCTTCCAGATTTCTGGGAGCAAACTTCACCTCACTTGAATTTTCAAGTCGTTGACCCTATCATGCTATTGCAGTGCAGTATTGGTATGAGAAAAAGAGAAATTAGGAGCACAGCAGATGCCTTTGTCCCCCCCACCCAGCAGTCCCCATGGCAGCAGCCCAGGGCTGGGAATGCAGCCGTGGGGGTGAGCAGGAGCGACGCTCTCCTGTTGCAGATCCCTGGTGTGCGGCTCGGCAGGCCGGGACCTGCCCATGCAGCTCCTGCCCCAGCCTGGCGTGGTCTGCAGGAGGCACTTCGTGGGACAGAGGTGAGGTGTTGCCATTTGCTGAGGAGTGTGTTTGGATACATCACTAAGGGTGAGCCCAGCTGATCCACCTTCCACAAGCCCAGGCCTTGGAGCCAGCAAAGGCTGCTGACGGTCCCCACCTGAGACAAGAGCCCATCTGGGGCTCTGCTCTGTAGAGACGGCTTGAGGTCACACCTCTCCCTTCTGTGCCTTAACACAAAAGGAGTGTGGCCCTAAAGAAAAATACTTTTTTAAAGAATACAGGGGAGGTACTGATTTACAAGCTGTGACCCTCTGCTGGTGCAGTCTGCACCAGGTTATCAGAACTGGAGGGATCTTTTGACCTGGCCTTGCAGAGCCTCACGTCTCAGCTGCAGAGTGTGAGCCTGTATCCCCCCCAGCCAGCCCAGCACTCACTTCTGTTTTCGCTTTCTTTCCTAACCATCATTTATTTCCTTCTGTGGTAGTTTACAGACAAGAAGCGCTGGCCTCCCCCTCCATCTCCACCTCCTTCCCAGCCATGTGACTGAGCACTCCCTGCATCAAGTGAAACTTTTCAGTCCCCAGGAAATCTTGATTTTCTCTCCGCCTGCTCCACGGTGAGAAGCAGCATCTCTCCCACCTGCAGCCGTGCTGGCCATGGGGAGGAGTGTACGGCAGCTCATCCTGCTGACCTTCGGCTGTGGTGAGTAACATCTCCATTTCTATCTGAGAAATCAGACAGATTATGCCAGTTCGGTTTCCTGGCAGTCAGGACAGCACCTAAAAGACTGAAAACTTTGACAGTTTTGTTGCTAGCACTAAGGGTGCTTTTAGTGAAGTCTCACTGCTAAGAAATAACCATAAGTACAGTGAATTGCAGCTGGTATAGATTTAGGTGGATGTTTTCCTCTGTATTTTTCCTTGCACTCTGTGGTGACATAAACTCTGACTCTGTGAAGGAGTCAGCTTAAAGTAGTGTGAGAAGCAGACTTTTTTGGCCTTGCTTTTCTTAAATAAAAATAGTTTCCAGACCAGCAGAACTGACTGAAAATCTTGAGTGAGACAAGCAGGAAAGAAAAAACTTAGGAAGCATTGCTCTAGTCATTAATTCGTTTGCATTGCAAGATGCAGAAGCTCCTGCTTCTGGAAAGCAGGAGTGAGGCGGGGGCTTGGAGAGCCCACAGGCTGGGGTTTAACTTAATGACAAACCACATCAGAGTCACTGTTTGACCCTTAATGCTGCTCTGTGAAAATCTGTGGAGCCAGCCAGACCAAGGACATCTCACAGTGCTTGAAGTCACCCCTCAACGCCTGCAGCAGTACAAAATTTGCCCTGTGAGGAAGGACAGAGCGTGATTTAATCTGTGTAATGGCTGAGGGGGTTTGAGCTCACTGTTGGGACACTGCACTTCTGTGGTGGGTTTTGCCGTCGGCACACAGGGATCACACCAGTAACAATCCCCGTCCTCCTCCCAGTGCATGAACAGGGAAACTGCCCAGGGACTCGACCATGAGCAGCTCTTGCTGTATCTCTCTGCATTCCCATGCCTGCTTCATAGCCAGAGTCTGCTGAAGTAGCCCCAAAACATACATATGAAAGGAGGGCAAGATCAGACGGGGAAGTAACACTAATAACTCAGTGGTCAGCAACCACTTTTGACCAGAAAGAACTTGTTTCCTCAACTCCTTATCCATTTTTGATCTTTCCTTTAATGATTTGTTGTGATGTTTTATTAATGTCCCAAAGCCAAGTCTTCCCGTGCAGACAGGGAATTAAACATAATTAGAGTTTAAGGAATAAAGGTCAGATGGGTGGGAAGCTATGACAGTACTGAAACCTCTCAGAAAATCTTGGTGCTTTTCCAATTCCTCAAAGCAAACCAAAGCAGCCAGAGATGGTGAGAGTGTTTTCAGTGATTATAGGAGCTGGGTCAGATTTTGTGTCCACATGGAATCAGTCAGCTAAACACGAGCATTTCTTCTGGCAGCAGAAAGCGGAACAAACCCACTGGGCAGCTGAACAGCATGAGTGTGGTTAGATGAAAAGGGGAAAAAATCCTCAGTAAGAGTTTCTATCACCCACCCTGTTGCAAGATGGCAAGCTGAGAAATGTCACAGCCAAATCATGGCACTGAGCACTGCCCTTCCCACCATAATGCCCGGGAGCAGAGCGGTGACATTCCTTATGACTGAAACGTGTCACCAAAGCATGAAAACGGGATCTCCAGGCTCAGACTGAGAACAGTGAATTTCTGAGACCTGCCCTGATCGGTTTCTGAGAGTTTTGTTTGGGAGCTTTGCATGGAGGCTGCCTGGACTCAAACACAGCCCTCAGCATGTATGACATACAGCTTTGATGCTGAAGTAAGATGAGGGATTGCAGCCGCTTTCTTTAGGAAGATACACCCCTGGACTCTTGCAGCCCTCAAAATGTTGCTTGTATGAAGTTTTGAGTTGGCTTCATGGGAGGAAAAAAAAAGAAGACTAACGGGGGGGCAGGTGGGGTGCAGAGCTGCCATTTCTTGTTGTTCTGCAGCATTTGTTCTGTTCCCATTTTGTGGCAGAGCCATGGGAGAGGCTGTGGTGGTGAGAGCTCTGCAGGCGGCTCCTTTGCCAAGCTGTGCAAGCTCCCAAAGAGGAACGTGGCAGTGCTGAGGGAGACACAGGGAAGCCTTCTTGGCATTAGCTGGAGGGCAGGTCAAGGACCCCATGTGCCCACCTCCCCCTCACACAGCAGAGCTACTGACCTACCTCCAACAGCCACCAGAAAAGAGCCAAGACCATGAGGTGCAAATGGAGAGCAATCCTTACCCATCCCTGGGAGCTCCCATGGCCAAATGCCTTCTGAGAAGACAGTCCAAGCCAAGGGTTTTAGCAGCATGGCCATGCACTGACAGAAACTCCAAAATACTTGGGAGAGCCCGGAGGAGTGGTCTGGTAGGTCACCCATTGAGCAAGAGCCACGGGCCACCCCAAAGACATTTCTGGCTTTACCCCTCAGTGACCCTGTCAGGCTGAATAATGAAAAATTGTTTGGTTGAAATTACCTTTTGGGGATAACAAAGTTTCATTTAAAAGCTATGGGTGGTATTCCAATGTCAGTTAAATAATATTTCTCTCCACATCTGTAAAGTGTTATCTGGTCAGTAATCAAAACCAACCTAAGAACTAACAACGAATAAGTACTGACTTTATTTAAGACTTGTATAAATTTAAATATGGGTTGTTTCACAGTCTTATGGGGAAGAAAGAGTGAAAATTGCAACTTCTTCTTTCTTGTTTTTATCATGCTGATACATTCAGATGCACCTACCCAGAGTAGGTTTACGGCAACTGCTCTGACTTTCCACTGGCACACAGAGGAAATCAGTTATCTGCTTTTCAGCTCTGTGGTAAAGTCTAGAGGAAAGTGAGAAAATGAACTAAAGTATCATATTAATTACACATTTTTATGTTCATTTTGATAAAAATCACAATATTTTTTGAGGTTTTTCAACCGTCTCAAATTGCACTTCTTTGATGGTAACAAGCTACACTCACAGTCAAGTGTATCCTGTACAGCACAAGTTTTAGGAATATGAGTATATGCACTTCTGCTCTTCTCAGTCATAGTCATTTTTAAGGGAAACTTGTAGTGTGGGTTAAGATCTATACATCTGCTCTTGTTTCTTTGACTTTTGTCTTAAATTTGATTCAAAACCCGGTAGGGTTTATTATTCTTATTTAGTTTATATGTCTCCTAAAATGGTGAGATTTTGTGAATTCACCTATTATTGAAGACCTCTGTTCTTCATGATGAATGAAAATAAATAAAAGGAAGAATCTTTGAGATTTCAGCAATTTTCACTCTGAATGTGCTTTTGGCCTTAACATATTTCAAAAGCCAAATCTCAGCAACCTGCCTGCCACAAACTTTGACACCAGTTCGTGAGCAGTTTCTTTGAAAGAACCAGTGTACAATAAACTCAGACAACATGCTGTGGCATCCTGTGGAGCTGTACTGCCAGGAATATGGCCTGTCTTGGACTTCTGGGTCCCTTCGGTCTCCAAACTAGAATGCATCTCTGTCCTCCAGCTAATTTAGGCAGTAAAGCATTTAACAACAGCTGAAGCTCCATGCACATCAAGGAATATGTCATTGAGTTATGTTTTCTTTTAGCTTGACCTTGCCTTTCCAGAGTCTTGTTGCATGCTCACAATCAAAGATTCAAGCAGAAGAGTTGTAACATTCTTCTACTCAACAATGTACTTTCCCATTTTTTGTTCATTTCCTTATTTATATTTAGGAGC